TTTCCGACGTTGACTTTTTTTTTTCCTATATGCTTTTTCCCCCACCTGTTTTCGCCATTGACATTTTTTTTTAAAAAAAAATTGTCTGCTTTCTCTGCTGTTGACTTTTTTATTTTTTCCAATTTTTTTTATCAGATTCTTTTACGCACGCCGCCGAACGTTAATCGTAATTGTACTGTCATTAACAGTAATTGTACTGTCGTTGACAGTACAATCACTGTCGACCACATCAATATTATTATTTTGACTTTTCATATTTTGTTCAAATATGTTGACAAGTAAACATAATAATATTACTGTCGTTGACGATAAAATTACTGTAAACACAATAATATTACAGTCAACCACATCAATATTACAAAAAAAATATTACCTTTTTATTTTTTTCAATTTTTTGAACGATTAACGTGATAATATTACTGTATTCTATTGTAATATTACTGTAAACACAATAATATTACCATGGTTAACGGTAATATAACTTTCATTACAGTAATATTGTCAGCCACATCAATATTAATTTTTTTTATCTTTTTATTATGTTTGCCTTTGTTGAAAGGTCAACATATTAATATTACTTTATTACACAATAATAATGATTTTTGTTGTGTTAATATTACTGTGCTAGAGAATAATATAGCAATATTACTGTAATATAGTTAATATTACTGCGTTAAACAGTAATATAGTTAATATGACTGTCAACCACAGTAATGTTAGCCAATAAATGTCAAAAGAAAAAAAAAAGTTTTCAAAAAAAAAAAAAATAGTCAACGCTGCCGGAGACCGGCGTTGACAGCCGATCAGTGGCGGCAGAAGGAAAAAAAATCAAAAAAACGAAACGCCGAAAACTGAATAGAGCTTTTCTCTTGACAAAAAAAAATGGAAAGAATTAACGAAGTGTTATACGTTTGGATTTAACTAATGTTGAGTCAGCTATCCGGAGCTTTGACGACTTAGTGGAAACAAATTAAAAGGAAAAAGAAAACAGAGATAAAGGAAAAAAAAGGGAATGTCAAATGTCAACTAATGTTGAAGTTAACTCATTCTAAGTCAGCTAACCGAAGCTCCGACGGTCTAGTATAGCAAAAAAAATGAAAAAAAGAAAAGAAAAAAGGAAAATGAAAAATGGAATGTCAACTAATGTTGAAGTTAACTAATGCTGGTCAGCTAACCGGAGCTACGACGACCCGCCGCCGGAAAAAAAAAATAAAGAATTACAAAACAAATAAAGATAAAAGGAAAAAAAAAATGAATGTCAACAAATTGAAGTTAACTAATGCTGAGTTAGCTAACCAGAGCTCTGACAACCCGTCGTCGGAAAAAAAAAAAAAAAGAAAAAAAAAATGAATGTCAACTAATTGAAGTTAACTAATGTTGAATCAGCTAATCGATGTTCCGACGATCCGCCGCCAGAGTAAAAAAAAAAAAAAAAGTTAAAAGGAAAAAAAATGAATGTAAACTAATTGAAGTTAACTATAATGTTGGTCAGCTCACCGGTGTTCCTACCACCCAAGCCACAGCTGGAAAGGAAAAAAAATTAATTTTTTTTAAATAAATAAATATAAATAATAATAATCAAAATAAAATAAGATAAAATAAACCCTAATTATTGTTTGAAATGGTAAAAAAGGTGTAAGCTAATTATTTAGATATATAGCAAATGAAACTTAGAGCTAATATGTTTTGCTTATAAATTTAAAAAGGGTTGGGCTTATCCCACATTATGTAAGTTAGTGAGGGGTCTATCTAAACTAACACCTTATTCTTAATATGAAATTAAAACTTAAATTTTCCTTTTCTTAATTAATTTTAGGGCGACTTTGACCCAGATCGATAAATCCAAGTTTCAACTACAAATTAGCTCATCCTTAACTTTCAATTCAAATAAATCCACTAAAATATTAATTCCCCTACATGTTTCTATTTGAGACAAGCCAAACCCACCCTCATCCCATCCCGCCCGCCCACCAGGCTGGCCCGGTCCAGTCTGGTCGACCCGGTCAGACCAGACCCAGTTAGATTATTTTATTTTATTTTTTTTAGAAAAAAATAAATGAATTTTTTTTTTCCGGCGGCGAGTCGTCTGATCTCCAGTTAGCTAACTTAGCATTAAATTTAAACAATCTACTTTTTTTTTTCTATTATATTTTTCTTTTAATTTTTATTCGGTGATGGACTGTCGGAGCTCTGATTAGTTGACTCAACATTAGTTAACCTCAACATTAGTTGACATATTTTTTTTTTTTTTTCTGGCGGCGGGTCGTCAGATCTCCAGTTAATTAGCTCACTAAGCATTAGTTAACTTTAGATAAACTCAAATATTAATATTAAAACTGTCGGGTGCCAGCTAATGCCTAGTCGCCTAATCCCATCCCTAAATTCCCACTGCTGGAAAAAAAAAAGACTTAAAAGGACAAATTAAAAAAAAAATGATCGGATATTAGTTAATGCAAAGTGAATTAATGCACCAGCTAATCAGAGCTTCGACATCCCGTTGCCAGAAAAAAAAAAATAAATAAATAAAAAAGTTAGACGTCAGCTAATAATGTTGAAGTCAACTAATACGTAGTTTGCTAATGCAAGTCAACTAATCGGAGCTCCGATGACCCGTCGCCAAAAAGAAATTAAAAAAAAAAAAGAAAAAAGAAAAAAAAATGCTATGTCAACTAATGTTGAAGTTAACTAATGTTGAGTCAGGTAGCCGAAGCTCCGACGAACAGCCGCTGGAAAGCAAAAAAAGATGTCAACTAATGTTAAAGTTAACTAATGTTGAAGTTAACTAACGTTGAGTCAGCTCACCGGAGCTCCGACGACCCACCTCTGAAACAAATTAAAAGGAAAAAATAAACAGATAAAAGAAAAAAAAAATGAATGTCAAATGTCAACTTATGCAGAGTCAGCTAACCGGAACTCCAACGACCCGCCACCAGGAAAAAAAAATTAAGAAAAAAAGAAAAGAGACAAAAAAAATGGAATGTCAACTAATGTTGAAGTTAACTAATGTTCAGTCTGCTAACGCGAGCTTTGACGATCCGCATCTGGAAAAAAAAAAATAAAAAAAGAAAAAAAAATGAATGTCAACTAATTGAAGTTAACTAATTACGAGTCAACTTACCGGGGCTCCGACCACCTAAATAAATAAATTTTAAATTATTTTTTTCAAATAAAAATAATAATAATAATCAAAATAAAATAAGATAAAAAAAACTCTAATTAGGGTTTGAAAGGGTAAAAAGGGTATAAGCTGATTATTTGAATTTATATCAAATGAAACTTAAAACTAATGGATTGTACTAAAAAACATAAAAAGGCTTGGCTTATCCCGCATTATGTAAGTTAGTGAGGGGCTATCTCAAATAAACACTAAACTTTACAATGTTTGCCTCACTGTATTGTTTTTTAATCAAACTCAGTAGTATGGTTATTCATAAAAAATGAGTATGAACTGAAAACTTCGAATCCATTTTGATATTGAATTTGAGCTAAAGATAACGTGGGGTTTAAGGTAGTGAAGTTTAATGTGTTGATTGTGCATGTGTATGTGCTGAAAATGTGTGAATGTGTGGGTGCTGATTGTGCATGGTGTGTGTGCCGTGTGTGGTTGTGTGTTTATGTGTGTGAATTTGGGATTTTTTTCCCAAATCATAAATGTGTGGTAAATTGTGATATTTGTGTGATTTGTGGCACTTGATTGATATTTGTGATGTCATGTGTGGGTTATAGCATTATTTCGAAAAGTTGCATTAACTGATTTTTATTTGAAAGATTAATGGAATATCGGGTAATAAACAACTCGGATATAGTGGGCCGGTATCCAACTAGGATGATGTGTGTAGTGGTTTGATTCCACTTAGTGAAAACGGGCTCGTAACAGGTTTATTATCCGGTACAGAAATTAATCTTTCACGGATCCGATAAACCGAAAAATGTGTTTTTCATGATTTTCACCAAAAGGGCATTTTAGTCATTTTGCATAATTACGTGATTTTGTTAAATGATGTATTTTCGTGAGATATGTGATTTGACCGATTGCCTTGTGTTGTGTGCGGAACGAGGGTAAGAACGGGTATACAATATTATATATTATATATAACGTATTTCCAAAGTTCGATAATACTCGGATTTCTTACTGAGCTTTATAGCTCATATAGATGTCTTTTAATTGCAGGTAGTAGTAATCCTCAACCGGGATGGATCGAGTAGTGGATCGAGGTCTTGCCCGGAGTTTTGGAAGACGTACGAGGACCTATGAACGATGCTAGACTTTTGGTTATTTTCTTTTGGTGGTGTAATCCTAAACCGTAACATTTCTCTTTTCGTACTTTTGAACTCATTTTCGTTATGAATCGTACTTAATTCCTACTTTAATATAGAAGTTTCGTAATTTGCTATTTTCATGCCTTCGTTAGAAACCTTCGAATTATTCACCAAAATAACCTTTCAAAACTCTGATTTCTTCTCGAAGCAAAAATCGATAGTGAGAATGTAGCACTCGAATAAAGAACCTCCCCTCGAAACTTATTTCCAAACGAAGCTTTTATTCGGTTAAAACAACCTAAGAAAGTTTTCAAAAATGCAAAGTCTTAATAATTGCATTTTCACCCCATTCCAATGTTTCAAAAATTACAAAGAGATCCTTTGCTTCCGCTAGTTTAATAAATATTCCGATAAACCGGTTCGATTTATCGCCCGTCTAATGTATATATGGACTATATGCATATGCATATATGTTATATATAGTATTATTTTGATTGAGCTAGCATGCATAAATGGAAATCATAATAAGTAAATAACACACATAAAAGATACAGGTAGAAATGTAAATCTCACTTCATTTACACTTAAAAAAACATGAATTATTACGGATAAAAGATACAGGTAGAAATGTAAATCTCACTTCATTTACACTTAAAAAAAACATGAATTGTTACTGTTCAACAACAACTGACTCAAGTGATCGATGATCTCTTCGATTTTGGATTATGAACACTCAAAACTTATAAATGTCGTCTTTTCGGCGACCGCATGGGCAGCTTCGCCCACTGATTTGCCTGAGCTTCTTTCTCTTCAGCATCAGAAACGATACTCCAAAACGGCCACTGATTTGCCTTTGCCTGAGCTTCTCCATCATCATAAAAAACGCTACTCCAAAACACATGATCGTTTGCAAATTCCTTGGCTGAATCTTCTAACGGCAAATCAGCCGCCTCTCTTGCGGGTTCTTTTCCTTCTTCAATCGGTAATCCCTCCAATATACTACTCCAATATAATGCCAAATCCGACGGCAACTCGCCCTCTGGTGCTGGTGCTGGTGCTGGTGCAAATAGATATTCTGGCACATGAATGTCGAAATCGGGAAGTAGATTCTCTGGTGGTGGTGCTGGTGCAAGTACATTTTCTGACTGCACATGAATGTCGAAATCGGGAAGTAGATTCTGTGGTGCTGGTGCTGGTGCAAGTAGATTTTCTGACTGCACACGAATGTCGAAATCGGGAAGTAGATTCTGTGGTGCTGGTGCTGGTGCAAGTAGATTTTCTGACTGCACACGAATGTCGAAATCGGGAAGTAGATTTTCTGGTGCTGGTGCTGGTGCAACTAATTGTTGAACTTCTTGATCAAATTGGCGGCCGTGTGCAGCGACTGCTTTTTTATCCAATTTCGTAGCTCTCTTATGAATACGGCACAACGCCCAATCGTCAAACTGCAAATTTCAAATAAATAAAAAAGAAAGTTAATGATCAATAATCAAATCATTACACACACATGCATGGTTTAATTTCATATATATATATATATATACACACACGTACCTTCGTGTCGTTTCTGTCCCTTTTGTTTCGAGAAGGTTGTTGATTATTAGTAGCAGCAATAAATTCGTGCATAATCCAATCAGTCTTAATTGACCTATTTGGATGTAATCCTTCCCAGAAATTCAAAGACCTCTTTGATCCAATAGTGACACCATCAATATTTTTAATAGGTGTATCTGCTCCGCTAGCCCTCCAGTGTCCATTGTTGGCCGTCCGATCGGGCCTCGATCCGTTCGGGTTCTTTTTATTCCTCAATGTGAAAAAGTACCATTCATTATCTCCAAGTGTTGGATATTCACCTATATATATATACACACACATGGGTTAATTTTCACGTTCAATATATTTGCATCTAGAAATTCAATTAATCAAACCCTAGACCAGAACATGCCCATATTTCAAGATTTTAAACTTTTTCCTCCGCAATATTTGCATTTTTTAATAATCTACGTTGTTATCTCTAACTTCAAGAGTTCTGATAAGTTGAAATACTATATTTTATTTTATTATATTTAAAAATATGTTACATATATTTACTTGTTCAATAATATTTATATGACTATTAAAAAAAAAAAAAAAAAGTGGGGGATTTGCCTTGAACCCCGTAAACTTTTGGTTTACCTTAATTTCGTCAAGATTTAAGTCGTTTTTCTAAAAAAGTCTTAACCCCTAATCAAAAAATCTTGTTCAATCGTGTTAATTAGAATGAATTTATGTGATATTATACAATACAAATAGGGTTCTATTTTCAAGAATTCTTAAAACTCGCCTAGGAACCCTAATTTATCAGGAATGATATATCCTGCTTAGACGAAGTTCAGGGTACATATTTACACGAAGATCATTAGTTAAACCCTAACGCAACTAGATCTGATCATAA